CCAAGATTATCTTCTGTGTCTGTGTCAATTGGTTTCCCTTTTCTTTGTTGAAGAGGGTCTGTGCAGTCCTTCTGCCTAGTCTGCCATCTTGCCGGAACCAACATCTCTTATCTCTTAAAAAACAAAACAAAAAAAGTTTTTGACCCCGCATCTTCCTCCAGCTGCCGATCCTCTTCTCTGGATTCCTTTAGGGTAGAAGTCTTCAAATAAGGAGTTGGTGTCTCACTGTCTTCTCTTTCTGTTCCCTCTTTCATTCACTTAGGCTTTCTCACCCGCTGCCCAAGTGAAACCACTCTTGAAAGGGTCATCAAGAGCTGCCGTCTTACTAAATCCACTATCACTTCTCTGTCCTTATCCTCCTTAATCTGTTGGTGATACTTGACTGAGTTGATCACTTCTTCCTTGAAAAACTCTTGTTTTTGGCTTCTGTGACTCCACATTCTGCTGGATTATCTTCTACCTTTTGACTGCTTATGAGTCAGTCTAGCTGATCTTGTAAGATAATATAAAACCAGTTATCTCTCCTGCTCAGAGCTCTCCAGTCACAGTGTTTCTTACCATATTCAAAATTAAATCCATAATCATTACCAAGGCCTACAAGGCCCTAAGTGTTCCAGCTCCTGGCCACCTCCCAGCCAAATCTTGTACACTCGCCCTTGTGCTATTTGTTGAATCCACCAAGTTCCTAAGGGCTAGTATACTTGCTACTCCCTGTGGCTGTCAAGCTTTCCTCTCAAGTGTTTGCATAGTTCGTTTCACATTACTCTGCTCAGGTACCATCTCCTCAGAGAGACCTTCCCAAACCTGTCTAGCTGTCAATTTATCTGTCCCAACCACTGCCCCCAATTCATCACTCTCTATCCCCTTACCCTGCTTATTTCCTTCATAAAACTTGTCACCGTCTGAAATTACTTGTTTATGAACAGGGCCCCCTTCCTCTCACAGAATGTAAGCTCTCAACCACTTGTCTGCTTGGCCATTTCTCTATCCCCAGTATCTCCATCAGTATTTGGCATGCAATAGCTGGCCCATAAATACTTTTTGAATGAATGCTGCTAAGAGGTTGAATAAGATGAGGATGGGAATGTTTCCTTTGGATTTGGCAATGTGGAATTTGTTGGTGTCATTGATGAACAATTTAAATGGAGCACCGAGGGTGAAAATCAGAGCCAAAAAAAAAAAAAAAAAACAGGTAAGCAGAGAAAACGAGATGAGGAAATTGAAGATTTTTACCAACTTCTTGGAAGGAAGGTTGGGCAATCTACTTTCATAGCCACCTTGGAAACCCAAGGAGGGGTCGCTAGGAGTTGGGTCTGACTCGACGGCACGTAACAACAACAACTTCTGCGGTCTGAAATTGACTGAACATGCAATCAAGATGTGTTGTTGCTGGTGATTGGAATGCAAAATTCGGAAACAAAGAACAGTCGCTGGTAGTTGAAAATTACGGCCTTGGTGATAGAAATAATGCTGGAGGTCACATGATAGGATTTTGCAAGACCAATGATTTACTCATTGCAAATACCTTTTTTCAATAACACAAACAGTGGCTATACACATAGACCTCGCCAGATGGAATACACAGGAATCAGATCTACTACATCTGTGGTAAGAGGCAGTGGAGAAGCTGTGTATCTTCAGGCAAAACAAGGCCAGGAGCTGATTGTGGAACAGCCCACCAACACTTCATATGCAAGTTCAAGTTGAAGTGGAAGACAATTAAGACAATTAAAACAGAGAAATTGTGGGATGACATCAAGAACATCATCCATGAAGAAAGCAAGAGGTTATTAAAAAGTCAGGAAGAAAAGACCAAAATGGATGTCACAAGAGACTCTGAAACTTATCCTTGAGCAAAGAGTAGCTAAAGCAAAAGGAAGAAATGACAAAGATAAAAGAGCTGAACAGAAGATTTCAAAAAGCAGCTCGAGAAGACAGAGCCAATTATTATAATGAAATGTACAAAGTCCTGGAGTTAGAAAACCAGAAGGGAAGAACAAGCTTGGCATTTCTCAAGCTGAAAGAACTGAAGGAAAAAAAATAACCTTCGATTTGTAATATTGAAAGATTCTATGGGCAAAATATTGAATGATGAAGGAAACATCAAAAGAAGAGGGAAGGAATACAGAGTCACTATACCAAAAATAATTGGTCGATGTTCATCCACTTCAGGAGGTGGCAAGTGATCAAGAACCAGTGGTATTGAAGGAATTGGCAAAAAACAAGGCTCCAGGAATTGACTACCCAGAGACATTTCAACAAACAGATGCCACACTGGAGTCACTCACTTGGTTATGCCAAGAGATTTGGAAGACAGCTACCTGGCCTACTGACTGGAATACATCCGTATTTGTATCCATTCCAAAGAAAGGTGATCACACAGAATGTGCAAATTATCAAACAATGTCATTAATATTGCATGCAAGTAAAATCTTACTGAAGATAATTCAGAAAAAGCTGCAACAGTATATTGACAGAGAACTTCCACAAATGCAACCTGGATTCAGAAGAGGACGTGGAATGAGGGATATCATTGCTGGTGTCAGATGAATCTTGACTGAAAGCAAAGAGTACCAAAAAGATGTTTACTTATGTTTTATTGACTATGGAAAAGCATTTCATTGTGTGAATCATAACAAATTATGGATAACATTGAGAAGAATGGGAATTCCAGAACACTTGCTTGGCTCATGAGTAACCCATGCATAGACCAGGAGGCTGTTGTTGGAACAGAACAAGGGGATACTGCCTGTCAGAATCAAGAAGGGAGCGTGTCAGTGCTGTAGCCTTTCACCATGCTTACTCAGTATGCTGAGCAAATAATCTGAGAAACTGGATTATATGCAGAAGAACATGGCATCAGGATTGGAGGAAGACTCATTAACAACCTGCGGTATGCAGATGACACAACTTTGCTTGCTGAGAGTGAGGATGACTTGAAGCATTTACTGATGAATATTAAAGACTACAGTATGCACTAGAGATTACACCTTAATATAAAGAAAACAAAGATCTCCACAACTAGGACCAATTAAGAGCGTCATGATAAACGGAGAAAAGATTGAAGTTCTCAAAGACTTCATATTACTTGGTTCTACAGTCAACACCAATGGAAGCAGCAGTCAGGATATCAGATGACATATTATATTGGGCAAATTAGCTGCAAAAGACCTCTTTCAAGTGCTGAAGAGCGAAGATTTTTCCTTGAAGCCTAAGGTGCGCCTAACCCAAGCCATGGTATTTTCAGCCACCTATTATGCATGTGAGAGCTTTACGATGAATAAGGAAGACTGAAGGAGAGTTGATGCTTTTGAGTTGTGATGTTGGTGAAGAATACTGAGAATACCACAGACTGCTAAAAGAATTAACAGAACTGTCCTGGAAGAAGTGCAGCCAGAATACTTCTTGGAAGCGAGAATGGCCAGAGTTCATCTGACCTGCTTGGGTCATGTTGTCAGAAGGAACCATTCCCTGGAGAAAGGTATCATGCTTGGTAAAGTGAAGGGTCCATGAAAAAAAGGAAGGCCCTCAACAAGATGGATTGACATGGTGGCTGCAACTATGGGCACAGGTATGGCAAGGATCGTGATGATGGCACAGGACAGGCACTATTTCATTCTGTTGTATCTAAGGTCACTGAGTTGGAGGTGACTCGACAGCATCTAACAACATAGAAAACACTTACAGACAGCTGTTAGGAGAAGTTAGCTGTGAAGAGAGAAATGGAGTTGGTGGTGGCTACAGGTAAATTAATTAAAGAAGCCAAGTCTTTGAGATGGCAGCAATGGGTGTAATACAGAGCACATGTGACAGGATTAACATGAGAAGGATACATCCTCCTTTTCAGCAGAAAGGAAAATGGTGGTGATAGTTACAAATCAGACTGGTTGTGTAGTTTGTGGTGGGAGGATGTGAGTGGGCAGGGCAGCTGCTATTTATTTCCTGAGTGAGGTCTTTGGTGAGAGGAGGAGAGGCCAAGTCAGCATCTGGTCAGCTGCCATGAGAAAAAAAAAAAAATCCTAACCCACTGGTACTGAGTTTGGTTCCAACTCATGGCGACCCTACAGGACTCAGTAGAACTGCCCCATTGGATTTACAAGGCTGTAAATCTTTAAACAAGCAGATTGCCTCATCTTTCTCCTGCAGAGCAGCTGATGGATTTGAACTGCAGACCTTGTGGTTAGCAGCTGAATGCTTTAAACCACTATGCCACCAGAGCTTCCTGCCATGAGATAGGAGGCTAGATATTGGTGCGGAAAGAGTGCCTTACCCTATGGAAAGGAGAGAAGGGTTACCATCTCCAAGCCAGATATTGCTGTATTCATGTTCTGGCAAAAGATGGCAAAAGGGTTAAGACAGTAGGATATAGGAAAAGGTAGAAAGGAGCATCAGCATTTTTGGATACATGATGCCTAAGGAGCTAACAGTGTCTCCTTGTTTAAACCAGGAACAATATTTTCTGTGCCAGGAAACCATTTTGAATTTATGGTAGAAAACCTGTCCTTTTCTGTTCCCCCATTTTCCAATACATGGCACTCATTGAGGCTGTGAGAGTACAGCTTGGCTTTGCACATCCAGCTTCTTACTGGGATTGGACATCTTCATGCCTTCAAATACTTGAGTATTTTCTGAGTACTAAGCACTGCTTTAGGCTTAGGGTATAGCAATAAATGAAACAAAGTCTCTGCCTTCAAGGAGTTTTTAATCTAATACAGGGAGACAGAGTAAGCAAATGTGTGGTATGTCAGGGATGGGGCAGGTAGGTCACCCTGCTCTGTCTTCCCCATCTGTCTTTCTCTGTGCCTGTGCCCTGACAGCTCCAGAAGTATTGAATGAGCCCCTTTTCCTCATCAGGGTATTTCTCTGAGCAAGCAACTTGACCCCTCCATTGTAGGCAGCAATAATGACATGTTCTATTTTCTTGATTTCAGATGAGACACCAATTATCGCAGTGATGGTGGCCCTGTCCTCTCTGCTAGTGATCGTGTTTATTATCATAGTTCTATACATGTTAAGGTGAGCACAGTAACATTTCTGCATTCCTCTGGATTTGATTTCAATACCCCAGTGACCCAGTAGGCCCACATAGCCCAGAAGACAGCGGGATAAAGTCAACAAATAGAATAGAGAGGGAATGACTCCGTAATAGCTCTAAGATCAAGTCTACTTAGAAATTATTTTAAAACTCTACATAGTCTTCCTTAAGAGCCAACCCGTTCCCTTTGCTACCGTCTGTCCAAGCCAGTCCCCCAACTCTAGTTCAGCCTGCAGCCCCGACTGGTGGTTTAGAGGCTGCGGGGGGAAGCCACAGTCTGTGTAATTAGTGATGGGTGTTTCAAGATCTTCAGATTTAGCCCTATTGAAGCATTGCCAACAAGGGCCTCAGTGAGGGTTACATGCTCAACAAAAGCCTACTCTGTTTCTAGTTGGAGTTTTGTCCTCAGACCCCTTTGAGACCCCAGACTCAGGTATGCTTAGCTGAATGATGTGAGTTACAGAATTCCTCTTTCTGGCCTTTTTTCAAGGTCCTTTAGGTACTACCATTTACTACCATTCAGTGAACAAAAGCAAAAACTACTAGGGTTTAACTCTGCCCCTAGCTTTGACCTAACCTGCTCTGTGGCTCCCTCTGTTCTTCTGGAGGGATAATGAAAGGAGAACCTTATGCATCCTCTGCAGTTTGGCATATGTCCACATTATTCTGTGGGAGACTTATGACTATACCTGTACCTACCTAGTCTGAAGCTCTGTGCTTCTCCCTGTGGGCTCCTAGGCTGTGTTAGGGAAATCGCAGGGTTTTACTTTGATGTGGATTCTCCCATTTCCCCTGCTGTATCCTGCTCACTCCTTTCTCTGGTGTGGCTGAGATCACCAGTGGGTTCCGGAACTGGAGCTGCACAGAAGAGCCATACGAGCCAGAGTACGTTGTTGGTGTTACAGAGTTGGATACCAGTGTGCTGAGAATGAGCAGGAGCATGCTGAAGGTACTCAGCATGGCATGGAGCTGCCTCAGGATGTGTGTGACCTGTTAAAAGAGGCTATTTGGTAGAAGAGACTTAGAAAGGCTGAATTGAAATCTACAAAAGTGGGAATACAAAGCCAATGATTGGCCTTTCCCACCTCTGTGTTTAGTTTTTCACTCTGAACATTTTCTCACTAGGTTCAAGAAATATAAGCAAGCTGGGAGCCATTCCAATTCTTTCCGCTTATCTAATGGCCGCACTGAGGATGTGGGTAAGGCAGCCCTTAATGCTGTGGGGAACCTCACAGGAAGAAAACCAAGAAATTAGGGGTTTCCCCATCCTGATGAAAGAATAAGACTATAAAAAGGGGAGGAAGGGAGGGGAACACTCTTAAAGAGAACAGCCCCTCAGATAGTCCCCAGAAAAGGAGCTGTGTCCCCAGGGCACTTGACCAACCTTCCTTTTGTGCACTGCAGAGCCCCAGAGCGTGCCACTTCTGGCCAGATCCCCAAGTACCAACAGGAAGTACCCACCCCTGCCCGTGGACAAACTGGAGGAGGAGATTAACCGGAGAATGGCCGATGACAACAAGCTCTTCAGAGAGGAGTTCAACGTGAGTTCTTTGTTGAGCCTGGTGTGTCAGCAAGGAGGAAGGCAGACCTAAGGTCAGGCCTTTTGAGTCATTGGGTAGAAAACAGGGTTCTAATGAGTTGAGAAGTGAAAAATATTTTACCAAGTTCATCTTGCTCCCTTGTGTATGATCATGAACAGGAAGTGAAAAAAATTTCGCTTTACCTCTCTCTTTCAGCCCTCTACTCACCCATCCATCCATCCTTGCGTCTGCCACTTTAATAAGTACTTATTGAGCATCTAATACGTGCTGGGTAGTCTAGCTGCCAGGGATATGATGGAAAACAAAAGAAGATCCAATCCCTGCTCTCAGGGAACTGACTTCCAATAGGAAAGATCCATAAACAAGAACCAAAAATAACTATGTAAGTTCAAACAGTAGTACAAGACATGAAGACTGATGCACAGTTATATTAAGTCCATATTAAGAGGTCTTCATTTAGAGTCAGAACAAGGCTTCCAGAGTATCTTAAGAGGGCGGTAAGCATAGATCAGTGCAGAAGGTGATGACCATGGCAGACTGCAGAGCATAACCCTTACCTTGGATATTTAGATTCGCAGTTTTTTATAAGTCCTTTTATGGAGGCAACAGCACACAGTAATGATGACAAAGGAAACAGAACAGTTCTAATCCCAGATCAGAGTCGCTTTCCTTGAGAAAATGATGTTTGAATTGAGACCTGATAAGTTAGCAAGACATGTGGGGGAACATTCCAGGTACCAGGAATAGCAGGACCAAAATATCAGTAGTAAGAGGGGGTGAGGAAGAGGCATATTCAGAAAATTATAGAAGGCCTGTGTGTGGCTGAATGGCAGAGACTCAAGAAAAAGTAAAAAGATGAGACAGGAAGATGGCTGATACAGACCATAGATCTTGTAAATTGTCATGAGAAAAGTGGAAAACCATAGACCAACCAGATTTATATTTTGAAAAATCACACTTGTTGCTTTATGGAAAAACCAGTGGGGAGACCAGTTAGAGGCTGCAAAAGTTGTTAAGGCTGCCCTAGTACATTGACCGGAGGTGGTAACAATGAGGGAGAGAGAGGTATGAATTTAAGGATATAGAGGGGCAGTTTCAGAGTTGGCTAATTCATCAACTTGCATATGGTTAAACTCTTGATTTCCTTTGTAACATTCCACTCAGCCATGAGTGATGTGTTGACTTTCTCTCTTAGGCTGGCTCCCCTAATGATGCCAAAATGGCTGCCCTGGTACCAGGGAGCTATCACAAAGTCTAGTAGGAAAAGGGTGGTTGTCTCTTCCTGTGCATCTCAGTGAAGACGACTTTCCCAGAAGCTCTGGAAGCATTTTCTCTCAAATGCTGCTGCTTAAGCATGTCATGAGCAGGGGAGAAATAGGTTACTGTGACTGACTGAAACCAGGCTGGTTTATACCTGGGTCATGTGGGGGACAGGCAAACAAATCCTTTGGTAGCAAAAGGAAAGGAGGAATATGTTTTGGGTGGCTGGAATATGTTTTGAGCAGTCAAAGCTGATCCACATTAAAAGGTTTAAGAGAATTGAGAGCAATGTGGTCCTATTTTCACTTTGAGAAAATCGTTAGCTACAATGTGGAGAATAGATGGAGGGAGGCAAGATTTAACACAGGAGACTGTTTACCAGGTAAGAGTTAATGAAGTAGCTTGGCCCCTTTCCTTCCGGTTATTAGAAAAATAACTCCAGTTAATACTTAGTGATTGAGTACATTTACCATATCTCACAAGACAGCATCCCAGTCTCAGCACGAGAGCTGGATCTTTGTTAGGCCTTTCTACTGTTTTATTATCTGTAATAGCAGCTGCTTTTGGGTGATGGGGTATGTGATCCCATTCTCATACTTCTTTTTGTGCAAAATGAGCTCTTTATTTCTTTGTTTAAAAGTAATGTTCTTTAAGATCCCATGATAAGGCATTCCAGTAAATCCTTTGATGGTGATATTCCTAGAGGCATGATAGACAACTTCAGATAGATGTGCTGAACACATTACTGTGTTTCCTCAGCAGAAGGAATCCAGTTTGTAGCTGGCTGATACTCTGGTTGCCATATTAAGGTCTTAGAGTTTATCCCTCTTATTGGCATTTGGAGCTCTCTGCAGTGATAAGTCCAGGTAGTCTTTGTGAGCAGAAATCTGTATTGTTGAGACCTTTCTCTCTACCTCTGCTATGATAGCCATTGTGGTCATGAGTTCATTGGGCCGGCATTGGGATGGTGAGGGAAAGGGCTGGCCAACATCTCCTGAGTTTTAGCATTGAATGCCATTAGGTGAGCATTCACATGGAGCATAAACATTTCCCATCTTACTTGTTCCAGTTATCTATTACCCAGGGATCAGTTTAGATCCTGACCTCCAGTGAGGTAGACAGCATGACATCTGTTCACTGAGAGGATTTCTGTTTTATACTGTCATTCAGAGCCATCACTTAAGTAGGTTACCCCACAGCAGTCTATTTCTGGTGTGGGCCAGCCTATCTCCCAGAGCCATTTGTATATCAGGCTGGACATTTTTCTTCAGTCAACTATTAATTAAGATTAGACCATCAGAAATGTCTAAAAGAATAGGGTTGTATGGCAGGCATTCTATACACATCACTTCCAGCTGATGGTAGAATCCTTTTGGGCATGTCCGAGTTTATGTTAATCACATAGTTTATGGTGAGAAGTTGAAGTCATTAGGATACCTGCTGTTCCATGGTCAATCAGGCTTACTTACAGTCTCCACCAGAACCCAATACTAAGCTAGGACATGGTCTTGCTGACAAAATCATGGCCTTGGCACCAAATCCTACGATGTTTCATTATGATTCTCCTACTCAGCCTTACCACAGACACTGGGAACCCCATAGAATATACCAGAGTCAATTTCTTCATGGCCTGGGTCAGATCATGCCACCAGCATGTGGTCCATGTTGTCTCCAAAATCCAAATTGGTCCAGCAATCAATGTTCTCCTTCTTAATGGAGAAGGAGCAGTTGCTTGTTCTTTACGTTGGAGGAGAGATCCTAATATGCCCCAGGCCTTTGGACCTTCAGAAATTTGGCTCAAGCTGCAGGGCACTGCATTTTTATGTCTGCCACATACATCAAGGATACATAACTTCATGCTCGTCAAGTTACTTTCAGCTCTATGTCATCAGCATAGTTGTCAGGACAATATCCTAGAAAACAGTAAGACAAAATCCCTATGAACCAAATCAGAGCACAGACAGATCAGGACAGTGTATCTCTGAGGCTGTCCCTACCATGAGAAAGGGAAACTGTTTCAGGTAGTCTTTGTGCATCTTAAAGGAAAAAACATGCATGCACCTCATTAATATACTTGTCCAGGGACCAGGGGCTGAGCTAATATTTAGGAAGGATAGTACAGTGCAGAAATAATTGCCAGTCTGGTGTCACTTCATTCCGTTTACCATAATCCACTGACATCCTAAAAGACCTGTCAGTCTTCAGTGTTGGTCTGTTTGGTGGTGTGCATCAAATGGGGATGGGGGTTGATAGAAAATATCACAATAGCTAGTACTGGTAGTTATTGAGCACTTGCTCCATACCATCACTAAACTCAGACATGTAATGAATTATCTTATCATTACTCTGCAACATTTTAAGTCTTCTGTAGCACTTAGAATCTCTAGTTTCAGCTAGGGGTTTAGCCTTTTGACAGAGAGAGGGTACTATTCAAGGGGCTTGCATTTGCCCTTTCTACCATGGTGCTTTATCCAATGGGTGAGGAGGCCAGTGTGGATATTCTGCCACTTGGTGTTGTCAAAAGACATTGAATCTCAGTAATAAAATCACCTATTTAAGAACCAAACTCATTGCCATCAAGTCGATTCTGACTCACAGCAACCCCGACTGGGTTTCCGAGGCTGTAAATCTTTATAGAAGTAGGTCGCCCCATCTTCTTTCTGCGGAACAGCTGGTGGGTTTGAACCACCAACCTTCTGGTTAGCAGCCAAATGCCTTATCCACTACTCCACAAGAGCTCCTTAAAAGATGAGGTTTATTGGGGCAGAAGATTCACAGATCAGTAGCACCAAACAAAAAGTGGAAAGGTACAACAATGAAAGTATCAACAGTGATTTTGAGGTGCTGTCAGGATCTCATTGGTCAATAAGGGTGGCTTAAGTTTGATAAAGACAAATGTTAGTTCAGTTGACTTACGGGCATTGTCCACTCAGCCATCAATGCCGTTTTGCCAATCTCATAACTCTGTTTTTTATTTCATTTGATATGCTGTAAATATCTGTTCTAACTATTCAGTGGGTAATGTGAAGCCAGTTCAGACTAAAATTGTCCCATCATCTGGCCTACAAAGGTTCAATTCTAATTAGCCTATTACAGTGGAACTCTGGGTATCCAAGAATTAGCTAAGGGCCAGAGTCCAAAAGATGTATTTCCCTTTACCCAGTGCTCGGTTCCATGATAAATGGCTGAAGATGCTAGGGAAAGATGAGAAGAAAGGAACATGGTACATATATATGGATGTGCTGTGGTATGGTTATCCTTACACGTGCCTGGCCTCCCCATCGTTGAAGGGTTCTGGGTCTATGAACTGACCCAGGCCTGGAGGCTGGATGAGAGAGACACTTCTCTAGTATGGTGGTTCTAATCAAGCCCCTTCAACTCACCAAGGCTGGCTACCTCCCACTGCCACTATTGGGAGCTACACAATGAATTAACTACACCCAGAGATGTCTGAACCCTGATGACCATGGCCTCCAAGGCTACTTACATCCCAGTAAGGTCATGAATCCCATTTTGATACCAATCTCTTCCACCAGCATCTCACTATGGTGTGGACAGCCAAGAAAGCACTTCAAAAGGATTCCAGTGCTTTCCTCACCACTGTCCACCCTCCAGCAAGTCACATGTTGTGGATCCCATCAGGGGGCATGCTGAATGAGAGTGTCAGTAGGAAGATTGTGCCTATTTATATCCCTTCTACCATTCTCATCTCCCCTACTTTGTGCCAGTGGCTTTCTGGC